GCATGTGATTGGAGTGATGCATCTACAGTGTCGGCAGAGATTGGAGTGATGTATCTACAAGCCAAGGAATGCCGAGGATTGCTGGCAGTCACCAGAATCGGGGAAGAAGCAAGGAAGCAAACATTGGGAGGTACGGTTCTTTCCAAGGCATTTTACCTTCGATGTGCTTTGCTCCTTGACTCCTGCCATTACTCCATTTAAACACAGGGGTGGGGAACCTTTTTTCTGCCAAGGGCCACTTGGCTATTTATAATATTTGCAGGCCACAAAATTATCAATTTAAAAATTAGCTATGAAAAAAGGTCCTAGATTTATTGAGTTTTGAGTCCCAACTGCGGTTGCCTTGGCAGGGCCAGACCAAATGATTTCAGGGGCCTTACATGGCCCTTAGGCCAGACGCTCCCTACCCCTGATTTAAAGCAATGGAACTGAAGCCCAAGTCTAAAGGATCAGCAAATACCTTCTCTAGGTAAAAAATGTCTTTAATGTTCTGATGTAAAGCTTGGCTAAGTTTTTTCATGTTTTTTTTAATCAAAAATACATAAAAATCCAAAGAAAAATAACTTTATTTCCATCATCTACAACTAACTACTATTTAAATCCTCTCCTATTTGTTTTGTTACATACATTACTTTTTAAAAATTATGCATGCTCTTTGGAAGTAATTTAGACAAGAAAGCAATCTAAAAATATATAAGCACTTAAATCTTTGTGTTGTCAATATTAAACAACATTCTAGACACCACTGATGCATATGCAACTTTTTTGGTATATGGACAGGTGAAATATTGATGGTGGATGTGTAGCTAGAAAGACAAAAATAATTGTGTAAAAACGGTAACTATAAATGCCATTGTTATTAAAATATTAAATTTTCTTGAATTTAATGTAAGGAAAATAAAAGGAAGTGAAATTGCGGGACTTGAACTCCACATGTTTCTTTATCACAAGAAAACTCATTTCCTAAAATACGTCTCTATGGTTAATAAAAACAAAGCACGAGTGTAAACATTAAAAACATTAGGCTATTGGAGTCTTCATGCTTTCTGAAAACATTTTACATGCTTCAAATTTAGAAAGTATTTATCTACCATCGTCTGGAAACGATAAGGCTAGTCTTCCTCCCATCTTCCCCGTTGTGAATTGTATCGTTTCCACATCATCCAGGCTACTGCGAGCACATTCAGTTCTTTACAATTCTCGTGGTTGTTTTGCTCTCTGTTCAAACACATTCAAGAGTTAACACCATGCTTTCACTTCTTGATTCTCTGTTCCTGAATTCTTTGAACATCTGAATTTTGTTATCAAGCCTTCAGGCTTGTGGGTGCTGTTTCCCTAAGTAATTTCATGATTGAAAATATGACCTATAAAATAAAATGACATACTAACTGAAATAGAATATTCCTGGCAACACTTTCTTTCAGTGAGAGCTTGGTAGATTACTAATTCTCAAACGTTAATATGCACAGACATCTCCTGGGGACTTGTTAACCATGCAGATTTGGGAGGCTTGGCTTTGGGCCTGAGATTCTGCATTTCTACATGCCACCGAGCTGGGCCCCAAACTCCATGAGGACAGAACATTCATTGTTCAGGAACTTTCCTTCTGTGTCTCTTCATCCAGCTGTTGATGAGTATCCTTTAATATCCTTTATAATAAACTGGCAATCCAGTGAGTAAATAGATTTCCTGAGTTCTGTGAGCTGCTCTAGCAAATTAATCAAACCCAAGGAAGGGGTCGTGGGAACCTCTGATTCATAGCCAGTTGGTCAGAAGTACAGATGTTATTGGTGGAAGTGGAGTTCTTGGGATGCCATGGGGTAAGGAATTACCTGAGTCCCCCACAGAAGGATGAGGTTTCATGGAAAACTTTATGAATAATTTAAAATTAAGGAGGTTCCCCTCTAAAGTCCCATATATACATCTATTTTGCCATGGAAGAAGTCTAATCATGTCTTCAGCAGGGCTAGGATTAAGGTCACTGCCCAGAATTTCTGCTCTGTATTAAAGTCCAGTGCAGTATCTGGCTAGCTTAACTTGTGTTCCCAGATGCAGTCCATTGCATGTGGGGTCCTCATGGCCATGGGCCATCTGGCTGTTTGAGGCCACATGGCAGGCAAACACAGGCCACAGAGCAAGAAAGAAAAGAGGAAACAAGAAGGCAGGAGGAAGAAGAAGAGGAGAGAGAACTCTTTGTCTGGGGATTTTAACCTTCCAAGATTTCACAGGCTTGCATTGGGGTCCACCGTTCTAGCCAATCCATGGTTTCCGAGACTAGACTGACAGACAAGCACCTTCCCTACATCACCCCCAACTTCACTACGCACGTGCCCATCTCTCCCTTTGTTCGATCCCTTTCCCCAGTGATCTGCAGGGAATGGACAGGTGGTTCCCTGGGGAGTGAAGCTGTAGCTTCCTGGTGAAGCTGCCCAGATAACCATGCTTATATAATGTCTGTCCTTCCCTTTGCTCTCTTCCAGTAATTAATATTAATAACTAGCTAATTACGACAATAGCACAGGTAACAACCTGGACCTATGACTGGGAGTCTGAAGTCCAAACAGGGTTCCTGGGAACCTCCAGTCTGTAGCCAGTTGGTCAGAAGCACAGGTCGCAAACAACCTGGACTTGGAATTGGCATCTGAAGTGAGGGCAGTCTTGTGGGACAGAGCCTGTGGAGAGTATTTAATAAATGTTGGCTGAATTTATGCCATTTATTTTTGTTGTCGTTTATTTTGCTTATCATGATATCAAGGGACAGAATGTCTTTGAGGTCTTGAGGACGGTTCTCCTGCCTCTTCATCCCTTCTCACTTAATCTTCTGTACAGTCTACTTAATATATCTTGATGAAGGTCAGTCTTGTTCCTAGGAAACCTGTTCCACTGTGTAATAAGCTCATAATTAGAATTCCTTCCTATTTATTCAAACTATATCTTTAACCATAGCCAGCTCAGGTTTCTTTTTCGGTGGAGTAACATAGAAATACGTACCTAAATAAAACACCCTTCACTTCTCTGCATTGCAAGGTGGTGAGATAGGCCAGGAGGGAGAAATAGAGGCCAGCTGGAAGTTATTTTGACTCCCTTATTTCTGTACTTTTATTTGCCACTCCTAATATTTTCCCCCGTGGTGATAAAAAGCCGTTTTGTTAACTTATCAGCAGTGAGTGACTTCTATAAGGGGCAGGACTGTGAGCAGAGAGAATATGGTTCCC